CAAAGTATATGTGAACTGCTGTATGAAAAGTGAATTTACTCATCCAAATCAAAATAAAATGAAAAACAAAACAAAACATATCAACACTCAGGCTTGGTGTTACTTGGCCCAGATCTGAGTGAGTAAAATTTGTCAGCCTAGGTTTGTAGCTCTAATTTATACCCTCTTTTCCTTCAGAAAAGACCAGTGAAGTCATAGTTCCATTGGGTGCTGCGGGGGATTCTTGCCTCTTGTGCCCTATTATAAGGAGCTCTGGTGGCATAGTGGGCAAGGCATCTGACTGTTAACCAGAAGGTCACTGGTTCAAACCCACCAGCTACTCTCTGGCAGGAAGATGGGGCGATCTACTTCTGTAAAGATTTACAGCCTCAGAAACCCAATGGGGGTCACTATGAGTTGGAATCGACTCGATGGCAGTGCTTTTTTTTTTTTTGCCTTACTATATTCTGTTCTTGATAAGCCCATTTTGGTTTTAAAAGTAATTTCACAGTTTTATTGTGATGCACATAATGTTGGAGAGGATCAGATGTGTAAAACCTCCCACTTTGCACATTGGCTCCTTTGTCTCAAATTTTGCAGCTACAGAATTAATTCTTGGAGAATATATGAAGAAAAATGCAAGCAGGAAAAGGAATCTAATAACTTCTTTCGGTGGTCTCATCAGCTTATTGAAATGTAGATAAAGTTCATTATCGATCAATTCACTTCTATGTACTGACTGTCCAATTATTATTATTATCAGTTTTAAAAATCCTTGTTTCTCTCAACCTAGCTAAAGACTCAGAAGGAACGGTTGGAGAGCAAAGACCTGCACGTGAGCCTCCTCCGGCAGAAAATAGTCCAGCTGCAGGAGGAGAAGCAGATGCGCACGGCCTTGACCATGGAGAGGGACGAGGCCACTCTCACCCTCAGGAAGGTGGAGAAGAAGGTGGAGAGGCTGCAGAAGGAGCTGAGCGCGTGTCGAGAATCCAACACTGAGCTCAAAGCCAAACTTGCTGACACCAATGAGCTTAAGGCAAGTGCCCAGCTTCCCTCCTTGTTGTTTTTCTCCTGGTCACGCTGGAGTTTATGCAAAAGAATAACACCCTTGTAATGTTTGCACCAGAGGAAAGAAGATGAAAAGTTCACCTGAATTTCTAGAACCCAAACCAAACCAAAACCCACTACCATCGAGTCGATTCCGACACATAGCAACCCCCATTGGGTTTCTGAGGGAGTAACTCTTTATGGAAGTAGATTGTCCAGTCTTCTTTCCATGTAGTGGTTGGTGGATTTGAACCGCTAACCTTCTGGTTAGTAGTCAAATACCTTAGGCACTGTGCCACCAGAGATCCTTTGAATTTCTAGTTGTTGTTAGGTGCTGTCGAGTTGTCTCCAACTCATAGTGACCCTATGCACAGCAGAATGAAATACTGCCCGGTCCCGCACCAGCTCCATGATCCCTGCTATACTTGAGCCCATTGGCATAGCTATTGTGTCAATCCATCTCGTTGAGGGCCTTCCCCTCTTTCATCAACCCTCCTCCACCTTACCAAGCATGGCATCTGTGGTGGTTATGTTTGTGTGTCAACTTGGCTAGGCCTGGTTGAGTGGCTGGGCAGCTGGATATAGTATTCTCCATGATGAGACTGGTAATCAACTCCATGGTGGAATCTATTATGAGCAGCTGAGTAGCTCCCTTTGGGTATGTGGTCTGCTTCCTGTATATAAGGAGAAGTTTTGAGAATGGTCTCTAGCCTATGGCACGCTTGGACCCTGCATGTAGCCGTGTCATTGTTTAGCAGCCTCCCATGCCCTGCTGACCTTGGGATTTATGATGAACTTAAGTGAATGGCCTGCCGTGTGGTTTGGTAACATCGGGACTGTGCCTTTTTACTTGTCAACCTTGGGGCTTCTCAGCCTCAGCACCTAGCAGCTGTCTGAGTGAAGAAATGCCTCTAGCTCAGTGGGCTAGGAGCAGGAGGCAGAGCTGGCCCCCAAGGTTGAGGGGCTTTCACCCAGCCCCTAGAGCCTGTACACTTTGAACTTGGACTTAAAGCCTCCAAATTGTAAGAATAAACTCCTGTTTGTTAAGGTCATCCCATTTGTGGCATATTTCTTGTCAGAGCAGCACTAGGTAACCAGAACAACATCCTTATCCAGGGAATGGTCCCTTCTTATTACGTGACCAAAGTAGGTGAGACGAAGTCTGGCCATTCTCGCTTCCGAGGAGCATTCTGGCTGCACTTCTTCCAGGACAGATTTGTTAGTTCTTATAGCAGTCCATGGTGCTTTCAGCATTCATCTCCAGCATCACAACTCAAAAACATCAACTCTTCTTCAGTCTTCCTTATACATTGTCCAGCTCTCACAAGCATCAGGCAATTGAAAACATCATGGCTTGTGTCAGGCACACCTCAGTCCTCAAGGAGACATTTTTGCTCTTCAGCACTTGAAAGAGGTCCTTTGCAGCTGACTTGCCCAGTGCTAGAATTTCTAGAGTTTCTTGAGCTGTGGGAACAGTGCAATAATCACACAAAGCAGCCTATTTTATCAATTTAGTGTCTCTTTAATATTTGAAATGTTGCTGTAATTGCTGGGCGAAAAGACAAAGAGGTGTAATGTTAAGTATGATTGTACAGAGAATAAAAACTTTCTTCCCAATTCAGTGGCAGTCCCTTTTTAGAAGCTGCTGGGTGGCACAAATGGTTAGTGCACTTGGATTTTCACCAAAGATTGGAGGCTCCAGTCTACCTAGAGGCATCTTGGAAGAAAGCCCTGGAAATCTACTGACAACTCAGCCATCGGAAACCCCATGGAGCACGGTTGTGCCCTGACACACACGGGGTCACTGTGAGTCAGAGTAGGCTGCACGGCAGCTGCATGTTGTTGTTGTGATATTAGGGATCATGTAGGGATTTATCACATGGGGTGTGCTTAGTAAGACCTGAGAAAATGGATACACTGTTTACTGAGAAGAGTGAGGTAGGCACAGTATTCATGCTGTCCCTTTTATGTGAAAAGAGGAAACACACTTGGGAGATTGAGTTCCTGGACTCCAGGTGTTTAACTTCGAAGAATATGGAAAGAAAGAAATGAAAGAAGAAAATTTAGAAGACTTTAATCCAAATATTTAAAACGTCCTATATGTGTGCCACTGGCAATAAGAAGTAACTTAATATAGACATGTCATCTCTGGCAGAAATGCCTGCCATCAGTATAATGACAAGAAAACCCTAGGTCTTTGGCGAAGAACCCTCTGAAGTTGACTTCTGGAATCCTCCCAAATCTGGAAGACCAGGAGGGAAAAAGAATCTAGAATCAAGCCATCCTTTGAACATGTATAGTGGGGACAACAGTTTAGACAATATTTCCCACTGTATTTTCCCTTCTGAGTAATTAGTTTTTCACCCTCTGAAGGCTTTTTGCCATCAAGACCAGGCTGTGAGGTTGAGACTGACTTTCCTAGAGAAGGGGACTGGCATGACCCTGGACAGGTGCAATGTTTGAATGCAAGAGGAGAGGGAAGAAAGGGGAGCATCTGTGGGGAACAGTGGCTGGGGAGGAAATTCCAGAGGTATGTAAGTATCCTCTGCCCACCTTGCACTGCAGACTGACCTTTGGAGGGGTGTGTGGTAGGTGGGGGCAGAGGCCCCGAGGTCAGCTTGTGCTTAGGCGGGGTGCTACATTGCACCTGATCCCCTGGAACCTGAAGCTCAGTTGTACCAGGTGGGGGCTCAGGAAGACAGCTAAAGATGCTGGCCAGAGAGCTCACAGTAGGAGCAGGTGGTAGTGTCCCTCAGGAAGGGACAAGGTGGCCCTGCATTGGAGGCTTTAGGGCAGTCTGTTTCTCTGAAGAACCCTGACTGACACAGCCAATGACCTGCCTTGATTTTGGTGAGTGAACCTTCATGAACTTCAACTGTCAGGTGTTAGATACACAAAAGATTACAGTTTCAGCATGTACATGCAACATCTCTCCTACTACCACAAGGATTTTCTTCTATTCAGACACCATCTCAGGAAGAAAGAGGGGGAGAGAAGAATCCCTGAAAGATTGAGCAATGCATGAAAGAAAACAAAAGTCAAACTGGAGGAAATATGGTTAGTTACAAAATACCATCTGCTCTAGCAGTTTGGTGTGATGGTGGTAGGGAGTTGGTTTCATACTTTCAAGAAAAACACTATACAGCTTGCCCTGAAGTTGGAACCTGTTTCTCTTCTGTGGTATGTGTGTGGGCAGTAACCCTTGGGTGGTGGCACTCATTCACTCCGGCTTCCATGCTTTTGGGGCTACAAGGACACTGCTTTGTTAGACTAAAGGGTCTCTAAATACTTCCAAAGAAACTGGAAAGAAAAAGACAAAGAAGTGGAGGTGAGTGGTAAGGCAGCGAATAGTGGGAGAATGGTATGGAACAGAGAAAGAAAGAGACTTGACCAGTACAGCCAAAAGTGGAAAGCTGACCTTTGAAAATGAAGCAAAATGCTGGGCTCCAGAAGAAAGCAGGGAAAATTTACAGACTTTAGCTAATACTTTTGAATAACAGTTTTTACCCTCGGGGAGGTTGTTGCATGTAGAGAGGAGATTTCTAATCAGGAGGTGTACAATTTTTCCCAAATACAATTTGAAAAATGAAATATCTTTCCAGTAAATCTTCTGCTAAGACTTTACCAACAAAGATCACTTCACAATTCTGTCATATTTGGCACAACATTGCATCTGATCAAGGAATTCTTTAATTCTGTTAATATGGGAGTAAATAATATTATCAGGGAAAGTTGTAGGATATCTTAGTGCTTTGAACTCTTGGGTAGAAATACGAGTGGTTTGAGGGCAACAAAGGTCTTTCTTTCCAACTGAAAGTTGTGACTTCAAATAAGGAAGGAGGATTTTGGAGGTGAACAGTTGGCTGAGTGGATGGTGTCAGAAACAGGAGTAAAATTTCCAGATCCTGGCTTAGGATATCAGAATAGTAGGTTCTTGGCAAGAGACCATGTGTATCTCTCAAGAAACAATCTATTTGGAGAGAGATTTGCTGATATGTTCAAGACTTTTTAAAGGTATACTTAAACTTTTTTTTTTTCATATATTTTAAATACTATTTTTGTATATAGTGCATAAGGAATTTGACTATTAACCAGAAGGCTGATGGTTCACACTCATCAGCTACTCCTCGGAAGGAAGACTGGGCAACTCACTTCCTAGAGATACTGCCTTGGAAACCCAAGGGGGGGGGGTTGCTATGAGTTGGAACCGACTCAATGGCAGTGAGTTTTTTTTTTTTTTTCCCAATATAATATATGAATATTCACCAAAGGGCATCTACTGACAAGCTGCTCTCAATAATCAGATGAGCAAAATGGTATATTCTGTGGATATTGGCCTCTTCCTGGGCTACTCTACTGCTTGTTAAATACATTCATATACAAAATGCCATGGCCATGGGCTCAGGGTTGGAGGCTGTGTGTGAACTTCCCTTCACCCAGGCTGACTTGGCTACTTCTACTGCTGAGCCTTAATGTACCAAAAGCATAGACGAATATTGAGCCCTCTGTATGGCACCATTCTTCAAGGGATCCCAGCCAGCCACCTGGTGTCATGTTGACTGCATTAAACCCTTTCCATGATGCAGTTGCTCTTGTTAGTTGCTGTTGAGTTAGCTCCAACTCATGGCGACATTATGTGTACCAGAATAAAGTGTTGTCTGGCCCTGTGCCGTCTTCATGATCATTGGTATGTTGGAGTCCATTGCTGTGGCTGTTGAGTCAGTTCATTTCATTGATGGGTTCCCTTGTTTTGGCTGACTTTACCAAAATAAGATGTCATTTTCTATCGATTGGTCTTTCCTGATGAAAAATAAAGGACACTAAGTCTTGCCATCCTCACCTTTAAGGAATATTCTGGTTGTAGTTCTTCTGGGATGGACTTATTCATCCTTCTGGCCATCCACAGTATATTCAATTATCTTTATCATCTTCACAATTTGAATGCACCAATTCTTCAGCCTTCCTTTTTCATTGTTCAGCTTTTGCATG